CTGTTCAGCCTGGAGAAGAGAAGCTGCTGGAGACCTCAGAGCAGCTTCCAGTGTCTGAAGGGGGCTACAAGGATGCTGGAGAGGGACCTTCATCAGGGACTGGAGCAATGGGACAAGGGGTGATGGGTTCAAACTGAAACAGGGAAAGTTCAGGTTGGAGATAAGGAAGAAGTTCTTTACTGTGAGAGTGATGAGGTGCTGGCACAGGGTGCCCAAGGATGTTGTGAATGCTCCATCCCTGGCAGTGCTCAAGGCCAGGCTGAACGGAGTCTTGGATGACATGGTTTAGTGTGAGGCGTCCCTGTCCATGGCAGGGGGGTTGGAACTAGATGATCTTAAGGTCCTTTCCAACCCAAACCATTGTACGATTTGGAAACATGAATGGGAAGGTGAATGATACACACGTGATCAGCTGAGCGTTGTCGTTTCTTTTCCTCTTCAACAAATCTGAGAGCCTCCACTTGGAGAAACTGTCCAGTGTGAATCCTGCCGCGTGGCTCAGGAGGCATTTGTCACCGTCGGTCCAGATTTCCAGGCCTATTAAAGCCACGTACATGTTTATGGCCTTATAAACCTGCAGCAGAGAAAGAGCGTTGCTGTGAAAATGAAGGACGTCACAAAGACTTCTGATACAAACACTTTTCCTGGTAGTTGGTTCCATTTGTCACTTGCAATGGAGTCCACTCCAGGCCTGATTTCAGCTTTTCCATGCTTTAAAGTTGCAAAAAACCTCAACAAACAGAACACGAAATCTTATTTTTCTCCACATTTAAAGCAACTACAAAATTGGCTCTAAACCACTTGGAAATTGCAGCAATATTTTGAAAGAAATTTGACTTGCAAAAGAAATCAAGAATCATTTAAGTTGTTTTGACAGATTTCGATCATTTTAACAACTGTTAAGAAAATACAGTATAAATCTTCATCAAAATCTCATATGTGAAGGCAAAAAGCGGGATAATCTGAACGTCTGTGTTGAATTTGCTTCATAAATGATAATTTCAGTTCAGTTTTCTGTCTTGTCTGTAATAATGGAAATTCATGATGCAAAAGAAAAGAAACTATCAATCCCTTGTATTTTAGTCTCATTTTGCTGTGCTTGCTCTTACCGTGTTGATGTAATTGACTATTCCAAATATCCTTTGTCTTACAGTTTTCACGTTTTCGTCATACTTCTTATACTAGAAAAGTAAAAGTAGTGTGTTAGGAAAAGGAGAGGTAAGAAATGATGGATAGGAAATAGCCCATAGAAGACTGCCTTGCAAACCACCCCATGCCTGGTCTATTTACTGATATCTTTTCAATGTAGTGTTTTATCAGATAATGTGTTTTAAGATCAGGCCCTTTTCAAACATGTATCTATAAGAAGGATGCAGAAGAGGACAAGTCATTTCAATACTCACCAGACTGTTGTCTGCAACTATGTAGACTTCCAGATACTTTTTTGCTTTCAGGTATGCTTTCATCTAGAGAAAAAAGACATTTCAGTGGCTTCTGAGACCTGTTTCAGTCTCAACCTTGGCAATTTCAAACCCGAATCATGGTCAGGGTTGGAACAGACCTTACGGATCATCTTGTTATGAGGGTATTTCTTTAGCCAAGGCATTTAGAATGGGACTGCCTTGTTTGAAAATGATGAGAGGAGGCTGGCTATTAACTGATTTAAGATGATGAAAGATAGGCTAGATATCAAGAAGTATTTAGCTGTCAAAAGAAGCACATGGGCTGCTATTAGTACATGCAGGAGGGCTTAGCTCAGGTGGTGACTCTGTAATCGAGATCTGTGAGATTTTGCACTGGTTCTACAAGATCTGATTGTGCTTCACTGTTTGTGATTGTGAGGAGCCAGCAGGAAAGGTGGGACTTGTGCAACTCGTAGAGTTTCTCTACGGCCACAGTTTCTCTCCTTACATGTACTTAAGGGGCTGTCGCTTGACTAAGTACTTACTTCTGGGCTGTTGCTGGATTTGAAGATGTCACCAGTGGGGTCATTTGAATCTTCTTCCCAGGTGTTATTGACTAGACCACAGGTTTTGATGGACTTCTGTTTGAGTTTCTCATACTTGTAGACTGCATGTTCGTCTCTGTCTGAGGTTCCCAAGGGTTCAATGAGGTACTTCTGACCACGTGTCTCGAAGTATCCGCTAAGAAAAGGAGTTCAACTGTCACCTTTTGAATCCACAGGGCTGAATCAAGACAGCAATGTTATCCCCAACAGCATTAGCCCAGGCATCCACACCACTGCCTCATGGGAATGGTTTGGCAGCGTGCAGCCAGAGGGTACAGTTTAAAAGCAGAAATCAAAGCTGCTGAGTCAATTGGAAGATTTGGCTGGTCAGTGAATCTGTGAGTTGGAGACTGTCAGTCAAAAATAAATGGGTTTAGCAATTAATTACATTTGAATTTGGGGCTTTGTGCTTAACAAATGTGACTGAAAAGTGAATTTCACTTCAGTGGGGAATTCAAAAGTGTATTTTCATCTTTAACTAGACGAAAAGCTGAAATATTGAGAGGAATTAAGAGTTCTGAATCATTTTGAGCAGCAAATGTCAAAAATAAGTGTTCCGTGTTCACATGTAAACTCCACAAGACACGCAAGAATTGTTCAGACACAGTCTGGGGTTTGGCCACGTGCCACTAACCATGGGGAAAATGTTCTGCTGCAGCTTCTCAGACTTGAAAGCCACCTTCTTCCCTTTTTATATTGCACTGCTGTGTCTTCAGGGATTAGAAAAGCACCAAGTGCTGGGAGTCCTGATCTAATATGGAATTTGTTATATAGATTTATTGTTATAGATGGTTCTTCAGCTTCTAATTTAGAAACTCTAAAAGTTTAGAAAGGCAAATATTTTTCTCCCTTTTTTCCTTTTTTTTTTGTCTGGTAGTTTCCTTACAGGCAGGAATAAAAGATAACACCACTTATTTACTTATATCCTGATACATACGCATTATATCCTGATTCTTTTTATATTGGAAAATTTATCTTCATAGAGAATGCCCATTCTGCCCTTGGGAATTAAACCTCCATCTTACCTTAGGCCATTGCAAGCACTGATGCTCGCTATGGAATCAGCATCATTCTGAATGTAACCTTCATAATAACAGTGATCCTGTTTAGAAAGAAAAGATACATAGAAATCACTGGATTTAGGCCCATTCATTGCAGTCAGTGAGACACAGCCGGGTTTGACAGATGAAAAACCACACTAGCTACAAGCTACAGCAAACTATGAATTAAGGTCCATACAGAATAGGTGCTGTTTGCTTTTCACAGGATCCATTCAGGGGGTGAAAGCAATTGCAGCAGTTGGAAATGGCATCTTTTCCCACCAAAAAACACCCAACCCACAATTCTTCCCCCATGTTTATTTCACTCAGGGTCCTCCTGTTCCTGCTAATCTCTCCCTGATGAAGAATATTAGGCTTTGTATTGCAAAGCACGTGTGTTGAAACACGTTGGACATCGGACAAAGAGCTTCAGGTGAGAGCTTTGTTGAAGGAAAGACCCATGAGCGCACACTTAATTAAAACATAACGAGTACAGTGACTTCCTTTGTGTCTGCACCTCAATGCCTCATTTGTCAGAGCTCAGAGAAACCACCTGGGCTGACTGGCAGTGCCCCTGTGGGGAGTGTGGTGCTAACAGGAACCACTGAGATGTGTCTTTATCAGCATCTATGATCTCACTGAGATTAAGGGGAAAAAGCAAGTCACGGAGTTGCGGAGAATAGGTGAAGTCAGAAGGTGGAAAGCAATGGAATGGCCCTGGCTCCACTCCCTTTTCTCAGCAAATGTGTTTATCAGCCATTAAGGTACTCCCTTTTCTCAGCAAATGTGTTTATCAGCCACGAAGGTAAATGGTGGTTGTCTTTTGAAAGGCCAACTGTGTGTCTGATCGGCAACAGGTATAAATCAGTGTAGAAGTCACACGCTGCATCCCCCCTGTCGCTTCAGAGGCATCCTGAATTACAGGGCTTAAACCTTGCTTTAAAATCTTTTCTTTCTGTCTCATATCTATTATTTTATGGATCCGTGAATCTCACATTGGCCTCAAGACTGCAAGTATGAGGGAAGGAAACCTTTCTTTATTACCTTGATCTGAGGACTTGTGGTTATTTGTCGACCGTCATCAGAATAAACTGTTTCAGTGTAGTCTCTAGCCAATAGGTGCCTGCAAGGAGTCAAGTGCAATTATTATTCAAAATGAATTGTAGTCATCTAGAAATAAGGCAATTACATAACACACAAAGTATGGGGGGAATGCAAATGATTACTCAGGGTATGATTAGGATCAAAAACTAGGGAAACAAAGCTGCTGGGGGGGGAATTCTGCCTGTTTGTAATCCTTACGCAAACGAAGGGACGGTTCTAAAATAAGGCAGCAATTAAAGCCTACTTATTTCATTGCTATAAACTAATCTCCTTGTAGATCTGAAAGTCAATGCATAATTACATAGGCAGTATTGATCCTTTTTCGACCTCTACTTTGTGTAGGCATTTCCACCACTCCATGTGTGAAGTGGTGCTGCTCTGGTGCCTGCCAGACAGAAAGGTGCTTTGGGTTTCTTGTTAGCAGACACCTTTGTGATTTGCCATGGAAGGCCAGATCCTGCAAGGCTCTGTGCACTCAGGCTCCTGTGCAGTAGTGCACTAAGCAGGTGCTCAACTTTAAGCCAGGTCTGTAGTCTCACTAAACCCAGCAGCAAAGCAAGTCTATGTTCACTTCTGTTTGGGCAACTACCACAAGTTGTCCCAGTCCTGTTTCTTTTTAGAGTGGGATTTAGTATAATATAATTCCCCCTCATCAAATATTTACATTAGATTAAAACAGGAGTAAAGAGTTAATTATAGTCTCTTTAACAAGAACTGATTATAGTACTATTGTATTTACACAACCATTTGAAAAGTACCTATTACAGCAGAATTGTTTGATCCCATGTTAAATATTAAGGTGGAGCCAGCAAGCGGAAAATCATGGGTGTGCATTCTATCAATGCCAGGGTATATGTGGTTACCCAAAGTCCAGCAGCAGCATTAGAGTTAAGGGAGGCAGTGCTGGAAGCTGAATTATTAAGGATTTTACATTTATTATTACTACTTTCCATTTTTGCTAAGCATACAGAGCCAGCACAGCCCCATTGCATGGATATCTTGTTCTTCTCTGTAGTTTCTCCCAGCATAGAACAAATAAATGTAACCCTTAGACACAGAAAACATGTGAGTACTATTAAGGCATTGAACATTCAGTGGATTTAGCCATCTAGGAAATAAATAGGAGAGCAGAGTTAGCAGTATAGACAGGTCATTCCACCACAGTAACGTCATGTGTGTGTGTGGTTATTCATGTTATCAAAACAGTGACATGATGCTTTCTCCCCCCCTCTTCTTTCATCGGAGTTGAAGAGTTGCCTTTACCAGAATACCTCTGTCTGACAGGAGCCACAGTCCTGCTTCTTTATATCCCCAGTGCCTGTTTCTTTATGTCCCCAATGCCCGACAGAGCTCTTGGCAGTGAGGAATAATGCTCAAGGAAAATGTTGAGCTGAACCTACTCATTTTTCTGTAGGTGCAGAATGACTTCCTCTCCGCTGGCTTTGATTCCATACTCCATTGTGTCATCGTATTTGGTCTGTAAACAAATTGAAGTGTTAGAATAGGGACTGTTACGATTTCTGGCTCTCACCAAGTTGCCAGCTGCCTCCTTTTCCTCCTCTTCCCACCAAACCCAAGCATTCTGGCAGTTCTGGAGTGAGCAGGAGTCACCGTGCTTCGTATTTTTGAATCAGAGGTAAAAATACCAATTTGAAATGCATCTCTACTCGCATGAGCACGTATCCTGCTTTACCCAGCAGGAGATCGCTCTTCCAGCTCTTCTCTCTCATTTCCTTTTGCAAGACCAAGTGTCTGGGCTCCAAATTCTTTTACCCTTGCAAACCAAGGGCACTCGGACTCCAGAAAACTTTCCCCATCTCCCAGCAAGGAAAATGGTATCTCTTTGAATACCTCTTTGTTTCTCTCTGCATCTCTTTTATGTACTGTGTGCAATTTCCGTGGATAAACTATTTCATATTGCTCAACTTCAGGTAGTTTCCTGCTCGTGCTCCCTAGGGAGAAATAAAGGTATATTTAGGAAAACACAGGATTAACTTACTAAACGCTGTATTTCATGTCTGTCAACACTGATCCTTTTGGGCTGTATGGTTGTTCATCCATTGCACCACTCATTTCCCATATGTTCTCTGCATGTGCTCATCTGCTCTGCTAAGCAGCCACCCCCATTACGTGGCCTAAACTGAGGTTTGTTGCAGTCTGGATCTCAGATGTTGACGTACCCACCTATTTCCAGGGGTCAAAATACTTATGCAATTCACTCGTGGTTCTTTCCCCAGCATCCAGAAGTGACTCCAACAGGCCAGACAGTGATGCAAGGTGCAACCTTTGCCTTTGCAGTTTGCAGATGAAATGGTGAACTGCCAGAGGGGAGATTGAGATGAGCTCTGAGGCAGAAGCTCTTCCCTGGGAGGGTGCTGAGGCGCTGGCACAGGGTGCCCAGAGAAGCTGTGGCTGCCCCATCCCTGGCAGTGTTCAAGGCCAGGTTGGACACAGGGGCTTGGAGCAACCTGCTCTAGTGGAAGGTGTCCCTGCCCGTGGCAGGGGTTGGAGCTGGAGGAGCTTTAAGGTCCCTTCCCACCCAAACCATTGCATGACCCTATGATTCTACTACTTGAATTAAATTCCACAGATCTGTGGAATTAGTGGTCTCCAAACCTTATCACATGATGGCATACATTTACTCTAGATAAGCAAATAAACTCATACAAGTCACCACAAGTCTGGAATGAGCCTAGATTTCTGCTTTAGAAAGCTTTTCATCCTGTTTTCTCATGTGAATACTTGTGACAGGAGTTTGATAGACACACTCTTACCTATTGAGTTAGATCAAAGGGTGACAGCAGAGGGGCTGGAGATGGCATTTGAACAAGCCTGGTTGAAATACTACAAGATAGGCAGTAAAGTGGGAAAATCCTGAAGGTGGTGAGGAATCCAGGCAATTCCTTAACTCACATCACCCTTTTCACTGCTCTGTCTGTGCCTGCAGTGGCTCTAAGAGCTCTCTGAGAAAATACAGTGCTGGTAAAAAGCATTTCTTTTTGTTTTCTCTTTCCAAGCCTGAGCGAATCCTGACAGAAGTGAACTTGTGGCATCACTTGCAGGGGGGTGATCAGCACACGTTGCATCCTGTGAGCTTGGTAATAGGTGGTGTACAGCGTTTGAGAGAAGAGGGATGTGTTTGTCTCTGACAAGGCAGCAGTAGGTTTCGCCTGCCTCCTTTAATGCCCTACAAAAGGTCATTTCATCTGAATTAGCAAATTCTTATAAAACCCCCAAAGAAACCACTGAGGACAAAGGGAAAGTGCATCTCCCATTTTAATTGTCTGCCTCAAGGTCAGGTTTTCACAAGACTGGGGCATCCAATTACTGTGATTTTCTACCTCTGGAACAACAGAGCACATCCTGGTGCAAATTGTTCCACTAAAACGAACAGATTAATTCTTCAAACTGGTTTATATGATAAACCCTTTCCAAAAATAATTGCAGAATCAAGTTGGTTGCATGCTGACAGAGATGAGTGCTGGACTGTGTTAGTAAGCATGATAGTATAATGGGAGTAAGGCCCAAGAAGTTGTCTTACATCAGCTGAGCACAGTGCACAGCAACTATACATGCACAGTACTCAGTGCACAGTGACTATACATGCACAGTACTCAGTGCACAGCAACTGTTAGCAACCACCAAGTGCAAGTCTGTTACTGTAATTCACAATGGTATCTTGTATATTTTATATCCCAGTAATATTTTAGGCATCTCAGAAGAGTTCTGTGCTCTAATTTTATCTATGTACTCGCTTTGCCGACTCTTCATACAAGATCAACTGTGGCCCAGATGGTGTAAGTTCGGGCTGGATTTGAATGGAGACCCAGAACTAAACTTTGCCTTTTCCTGCAGTGTGGCACAAACAGCATTTTGAGGAAAATGGGTGGGTTTTGTTCCAGAGCAAATTGTTTCTTAGAGGTAGTTTTTGAACCAACTCAGTTTATTGTCTTTGTCTGGCTTCAGGCATTGTCCTGAGACGGTAGCTTTGAGGAAAGAAATTCTTGGGCTTTGTACAACAGCTGGAAAAGTGCTAACAAGGAACAAATCATTATGTCCTTTTCCAAGAGCCTGAACCAGGAAGAAAAATCACTAGTGAGGATTTTGTTGACAGTGAAGGTTTGGTTTTGTCAAGAAACAAACCACGTCACAGCCGAAGCATTCCTCCTGTGCTCATCTTCAGCTATTCCGTGCAGCTAATGAAGTCCTAGAGAGACCTGCCAAGGATTGCCGTGCCTCTCTATAGCCATGAAACCCGTGCGTGCTTGTGCCTGCCAAGCTCTGAAAAACTCTGCTCTCTGTTGACATGAGCTGAAAGAAACAATGCACGTGGAAACAACAGTGCGGGCTGTTAAGGGTGAGGCAAATGAATACACACAACCTGAGGTATCACACAGCTGATAAGGGTAATAACTGTTTGAATTCAGGTTAATGTCATTAACTGAATTAAAAATAGAAGTCTTCTGTAATGTATGCACAATACAAATGTATATACAGATACAAAACGCTGTCAGCGTAATAAGTTGTCCCGATTGGATTAATTGTCCACTTACTTGCAGAGGAAGTTATCTCCTACCTGACTCACAGAACTAACTGGTTCTGGGTCTTTAGGCAACCCATGGCCAGTTTTTCCACAATTAAATACTTCTCTAATGAAAGAATTTTAGGTAATTGCTTTGAACAGAAAGAGAAAAAAGCAAACATCCCGACCTGCAGCAGGACCACTCTTTCCAT